AAAGGCCAGCTTAGGAGTACCCTAATTAAGTTAATAACAATGTACCTACCTATGAGGCAGGGGGTCCCGCGGGGGTGAGGCCGAGGGAGTCCTAACGAAGCATGCCCGACTCCGGAGATCAGGTTCAATGATGCATATCTGAGTTTATTGTTTAAGTGCAGCAACATCTATCATTCCAGACCAATCAGAAGTTTACACCATCCTTAGGGCAACCAATGGTAGGAAAGATAGGGTACTAGGTAGGGGCTCTAGGGGGCTTACTCAGGCGGGCACTGCCACTTCCCGGTGTGCCGAGGAAGCTTGTATAGGAGGAGTGCGCTCATGCCATTGCATCTGCCACTGCACTGAGATAAATCTCCTGAGCTCTTCGCACATAGAATAGGTACTTATCAAAGAGTAATCAAGGATGTACATGAGGTGGTGCCATCCTATATAATAAAAGCCCAGCGACCAAAACAGCGGAATGACCAGAGACCAGAACCACCATGGCCCCTCACTGGGGCTGGCCCCCCCACAAGTGGTTAGGGGCGATCAAGCAGGCAGGCAGAGTGGTTAGGGACGATCAGGCAGGCAGACGAGTGGTTAGGGGTGATCAGATAGGCAGGCGAGCCGTTAGGGGTGATCAGGCAAGCAGGTGAGCGGTTAGGGGTGATGAGGCAGGCAAGCAGAGCACCACGATCCATCGCCTCAAAGAGGGAGACCCAGGCCTGTGGGAAGAATGCTCGGTGGCTGTGATGGGAGGCGCTGGCAGTGGTGGATGGCGCCTGCAGCCAGGCCCAAGCCCTGGGTTGTAGCCTCCACCCACGGCTTCTGCAGGGCTGGACTGCCACTCCTCCTGCTATGATGCCTAGGCAGATCCTGGACCCTTCCAAGACTGGGCTCTCTGCCAGGACTCGGCCCCCTGACTGGACTCCTAGCTCGGACCTGACAGCAGAGGAGCTGAAATACGGTGACATCCACAAGATTGGGGCCATGATCGCCCCTTTGCACTTCCTGGAGGTGAAACTGGGCAAGAGGCCGCAACCTGTGAAAAGTGGGCTAGACGAGGAGTGGAGGAGGAAAAGGCGCCAGGAAAAGAACAAAGTGGATGCAGTCCGATGCCGGAACAAAAAGGAGTGGATGGAGTTTCTGCAGTGGGAATCTGAATGGTTAGAGCTCATGAATGCAGAGCTGAAAACCCAGATGGAGGAGCTGAAGCAGGAGCAGCAGCAGCTCATCCTGATGCTCAACCGGCATCGCCCCATCTGCATCATCAGGACCAACAGTGTTAAGAGCCCCAACTAAGAAGGCAACCCACTGCTGGAGCAGCTGGAGAAGTGATCATGGGCTGGGAAGAGAAAGGGGAGGGGGAAGACAGGGAGAGGGGAAGGAGGAGGAGGGTCCCAGAGGACTCTTCCTTGCTGCATGAAAAACCCTTCAATGAGGCTCAGCACAGCCAGCATCTGCCAGGCTTTTTTGTGAAACTCAGATCAGCCACACCAGGGGAAGAAACCCAGGCTGATGAAACCCAGGACCAAGCGCTGAGACCAAAGTAGTCCTGAGAGGGGACTGTTCTGCCTGGGGCCAGGCTTGAAGGAGGCAGGACAGAGGCTCTCGGCAGGAGAGATGCCCAACCGGGCAGCTGTGGGCACTTCTCCAGCATCTCCACCAGGGCACCCACCCAAAGGACCTCTGAGCAGTCAGGAAAAGCCATGAGTTGGAACCAAAATTAGGCTGAGTATGGAACTCAGAGCAAAACTGGACTCCCAGCTGGGCTCTGCAATCTGTTTGCCCCCAGCCCTGAGCCTGACCCTGACCCTGACACAAGGCTGGAGAAGGGCACAGTGCCAGGCCCTGCTGTACCCACCCACCATGGTCCAGCTCAGTCCTGCCCAAGGTAGCAGCTAGGGCATACCCTCGCCAGCCCTGCTGGAGTTGCTGTGGGCATGAGGCATGGGCGCCCTTCCAAAGTACATACTCACTGAATGTTTATAGACTGGCTGTCCTGACAGGGCTCTCAACTGCACATGTTTTTGATACTTTTTTAAAATATTTTTTACAAAAAAAAGATTTTATGCAAGCAATATATAAATGGATTTCTATAATCACTCAACGTGATACAGTATAAATATGCTATGGTTTGTTTGTTACAAACAGATATTCATCAGTTATGGCTGGTGCTTGTAACTTCTAAGTACTGTAGTCTGGGTGTTGGAGGTGGCAGGGGCGAGGGTGCAGTGCATTTCCATACTGGTAAACCCTTCATAGTATTCAGTTCTGTGTTGCTCAGTAAACTTACTCGTAAAAAAGAGAGAGAGAGAGAGAGAGAGAGAGAGAGAAGCCCAGGCTACCTGGCCGGGGTTGCTTCAGTGGGTGGGCAGGGCCTACCTCTGCAGGGTGATCCATCTGGAGGCCCTGCCCTCGCTTGCCCTACAGAGGGAGGCCCCGGCCACTGGCCAGCGATGCTGTGGCGAGTGTGCGGGGGCGGCCAGCTATTGCACCCTAAGCCTGTCGCCTGCAGAGGGAGGCGACTGGTGGCAGGGGGCAGCACTGCAGAGCTGGCAAGCAGGAACGGGGGCGGGGCCAGCGGCCAACAGCCAGGGAAGAAAAGCCCCAATAGGCCCTGATGTCAGGCCAGGCCTAGGGACCCTACCCAAGGGGTCCCGGATTGCAAGAGGGTGCAGGCCAGGCTGAGGGACCCCCGACCCCGCTCCCGAGTGCACGAATTTTTGGGCACCCAGGCCTCTAGTAAGAATATATGACCCCAAAGAGGCATTGGGCAGTTGAAGCTTATATGCCATCTGGACAAACGAGAGGGAGGCAGGGGCCTGGGATTTCAAAGGGAAAGCAGGCAATTTATATAAATAGATGAAAAAGATCAAACATGTAGCAAACAAATTCTTGCTGGGATACAGAGGGAAGTTCACCAAACAGGCTTTGCTAGATTCCTACCTTGTTGCCACATTTATGTTGCTAAGGTGATGCTCCCTTCCTTTCAGCAGGTTTTTCTTTTTGAATTCTTTTAGGTAGGTGAAATGAGAGGGTCAAAGGATCTTTTTAAGTCTTCAATAACCAGCTTAAAATCAACTTCCCAAAAGCCATATTTTGGGATGGCAAAACTTTGTGCCTCTTCATTACTTATTCAGATGTAGCTAAAATTGAATGGGACTTCCAGAGTTTTTATGTAGTTATAGAAAATAGATTTGGAGGTGAACTTTTCTTTTGTTTGTTAAAACAAACATCTTTAAGATGGCTAAATTACATGAATCAAATTATATCTTCTAACAGATCCTTCAGGTTTAATCATTGCTTTAATGAAAGAATATAGGAGTGTATATATAAAAACAATTACATTTTGAATCTATTATTTTATTCTACATTGGTATTTTATTATTTTTCTTAATTATTAAATAACTACAGAAGAGAACTATTTTTCTCTTAAGTTCTATACATAGTAAGTTATTTTTTTTATCTTCTACTTTAAGTTATACATTGAAGCAGCAGATATTGTCGAGTTCCTAAGCAAACTGGAACGGGAAGAATTTCTCCCACGGTAATACTGGGATTTCTGTTGTTTTTTTCTTATTTGTATATTGGTAATAGGCAACCAGATTAAAAGAGCTTTTGTTTAAACATGCAGTTGTTTTAAATTAAATGTCTTTTCTGAAACCTAGCCCATTTGCTTCTGCAGTTATTTCCCTTTTTAGAGGTGACATGTCATAATGCCATATGTCTTTACCACTTTATAAATTATATATTTTTATGAGAATGGTTAGCATTCAAAATACCACTCTGATGAACAGTTGCTATCTGCAACTTTTATTTGTATCAGTGATTCACCTTTTTGAGTCACAAATCTCTGAGAATCTGATTAAAGCTTATGGATTCATTTGCTCCAAAATCACATACCCCAAAAGTTCTGCCTTCAATTTAAACTACTTTAAGTTTGTGTCAACAATGAAACTAATCTTAATGTTTTAAATGCCTTTCTGTTTTCTTTGGTATGTTCTTTTCTTCAGAGGAGATAGATATGATGCCTTGCGAGCCTGCATTGGAGACACTTTGTGTCAGAAGCTACAAAATTTGAATATCTTCTTAGTAAGTATAATAATGATGAAAATAAATAGTACATTCAAACTGCTATTATATATCATCAAGTAAATTTATTAAAGCAAATTTGACTATAAAATGAGTAGTTTCTAACATAGTAGACATTCAGTAAATCTTTAGAACAGGAGTTTACAGACTGTGGCTGGCAAACCAAATCCATCTTCCTACTTGCTAATAAAGTTTCATTGGAGCACAGTCATTCACTTATTATTGTCTGGAATTTCTTTTCTGCTACAATACTTATTTGACAGAGACCATATGGAGTGAAGCTGAAAATATTTGCTGTTTGGCCCTTTACAGAAAATATTTGCCAACCCCTGATCTAAGGAATTAATACATTTAAGATGAAAATATGTGTATTATAGTTTTGAACATTACATAATTTCTAGAAATACATTAAAATTGGTTGGGTGTTTTTTGTGTTTCTTTTTTCTCTCTCACCAAATGGAGGAATATGGAGGTGCATTCTATCTTTCTTAAATTACTAGAGAATCTTTTTTATTAAAATACTAGAGGCCCAGTGCACAGATTTGTGCACCCATGGGGTCCCACAGCCTGGCCTGTGCCCTCTTGTAATGTGGGACCCCTCGGGGGATATAGTAGTGCACAAAGCGTCAGGTGGCCAGGGAGGAGCCTGAGCCCAGACCAGGCACTGCGCCGCTTTTGCTCATCCCCGCCCCGCTGCTCCTGCTGCTGCCACCGCTCAGCAGTGCTACTGTGGAGGCGGGAGAGGCTCATGCCATCGCAGTTGTGCCTGTCAGCCATGAGCCCGGTGTCTGGAGCCCTATGTCTGGCATCTGTCAGTCAGCTGAGTGGCGTTCCCACTGTGGGAGCTTACTGACCACCATAGGGCTATTCCTGCATTGAGTGTCAGTGTGTGTCATAGCAATTGGTCACTTAGGGTTTTATATATATAACTAGGGGCCCGGTGCACGAAATTCGTGCACTTGGTGTGTGTGTGGGGGCAGTGTCCCTCAGCCCAGCCTGCCCCCTCTCACATACTGGGAGCCCTCAGGCGTTGACCCCCATCACCCTCCAATCGCAGGATCGGCCCCTTGCCCAGGCCTGACGGACGTCAGGCCTGGGCAGGGGACCCTCATT